TTTTATGTACCACTATTTCCTTTGCTTGATGTGTTTTCCAACGAGTGCGCGAAAATCGGATTCGAAAGTGTCGTGTGTGCATCGAAAATGGTGGTGAACATTTTGAACATATGTTGTAGTTTGTTTTGTATTTGTGCGTTTAAAAATTACTGAATTTTGCCCTAAATAATTTTTAATACGTATGATTATTTGGACGACGTGAATCTTTGGGTACTTTAATTACATATTTTTCAAGTTCATAATTTGATTAAAAGTTAAGTTCCTGTTTTAAGAGATTGATAATTACTAAAATTCGAGCTAAAATTTAAGCACAACGCTATCTTCGTACTATAAAATCCATACATTTTATCTTATTTATTTCAAAACTGGAAAACAATCGTCTTGACATTTACTAAATGTCTCACAATAACAGTTGTTTACATTTTTTCCGTAGGACAAGTCTGCCGCGTGCACACGGGATGTGCATCAGCTGTGTAGCGCTGTTATCACGTTGTGATGAAACTCCCCAATGTTAAAACTCGCTGTATTTTGAAAACTGTTAATCTTACGCCCCTGTAATATACAACTTTTTTGTTCATTTATCTCTATCTCATGCTGAAGTTGTGGCAGTCATACTTCTTATACCCTGTATACGCGGTAACTCTCAGGTATTTGAAAAAATTCGGTCTAAGAATTAGTTTGAAGACTGGCTTACCCAACACAGGTGTGCAATCTTTGAGAATGATGAATGAAATTGTTATTAGACGCGGTTTTTATTTTAGGTTTCAAGAATTTTAATGCATAAAATTTCACTTTCAGATATACAGGATGTCTCTAAAGGGCCTGTACAACTCTCTGGTTTAAAATAAGTCGATTTAACTAAACTTGGGGTGTCAAAGTTGAAAAAATAAATACATTTTTCTTTAATTAATTTTTCAACTACTTCGAGCTAATTTCGTGAAATTTTTTATCCGGGGTTTTTTTTGGGATAAGAAATTCGAATTTGTTGATGATTTCGTCGTATCTTCTAGAGACCATTAGGACGCATTTAAACTGCCAAAATTTTTTGTGCCACGGTGTATTTCACTTTGGGCTGGAAAAATCTTTTCCCGCAACTTTTCTGCTTAAAAAAGTTATTCGTTTCTACACTGAAAGAAATGCGTTTTATTTATTAAAATTCTATATGTCATTATAAGACCATTGTATACTATATGTGACAGTTAAACAGGTGAATATTGGATATAAAACGCATACTGCTAGCGCAGTTGTATAGTGACTATAAACCTTATTCTTTATTAAATTATTGTATAACTAGTATACAACGTTTTTTATACCTTTTACGAAATAATAGCAATAACTGTTATTAAAGTGTTCCATATCGTTATTAGAACATCTAGTACTAGGGTTGCCAGATTTATTTCATGACCGGAGAAATTCATGGCTAAAAAAAAAGGTCTTTAGAAAATCTGGGAATGAAATTGTTTACGAAGAAAATGAGCTCTAAAAAAAAGAAATATAATCCTAAGTTCTGCAATTAGACAAATCGATGTCTAAAAAAAAAAAGGAATATGACTGAAGGAAATGGATTTCGAGGCTGGGTAGGGCGTCAAACCCGGAGATCTGGCAAGCCTATCTAGTACTGGTTATAAGTTTTATAATAATAAATGTATTAAACTGTTGTATACTCTGTATGAGTTAAAAACATATGACATTAAGTTTTCAGAAATTGTATTGGATAACTGTAATTACAAGCTAAGGTTCTAATGTAAACATACATGAAACATACTTTTAAGCATTAAAAATGATGACAAATCGCTCCCAAAACTGTCCAGTTTATTTTCTTAACAACGATGCACCCGTATTTTCTTGTTGTACATGTAGGGTTGCCAGATCTATTTCATGACAGACCCGGAGAAATTGATGTCAAAAAAAAAAAAAGGTCTTTAGGAAATTTTGAAGTCAAACCGTTTACGAGGAAATCGATCTCTAAAAAAAAAGGTCTGCAGCAGCTCAATGGACAAATTGACAATCAGATCTCTCAGGAAAATAAATTTCGGGAGTAGAACGTCTTAACCCGGAGAAATGACATATCCGGAGCCCGGATATGTACCATCAAAACCCGAAGACTCCGGGTCAAACCCGGAGACTTGGCAAGCCTAATTACATGAGAATTTCCACTATAACGCTTCCACCTTAAGAATGAAGCATCTCCTGAAAGGTTGAGCTTCTTTCCATCTAATTCTATTTCCTCTGGTTGATTGACTTTGTCACCGTTAACCTTCTGTTCCTCCATCTTATGTAAAACTTAACATCAGCGATTTCTAATAGGACCTACAAAATAATAATTTTTAAGATTTAGACAAGTTTTACATTTGAAAAAACAAAACAATTGCAAGCCATAAAATAGTTAGATACTTACATAATTTTCCATTTCACACGACGCGATATGATCACGTATCCCACAAAACATGTGTATATACGATCATAATCGAAAGGTGACGATCACTTAACCATTATAAGACGCGTTTTACACGTTAAAAACGGAAACATATTCAGTATAAGAACGAATAATTCTGTTAATACAATTGTTATATACAAATTCGGATACTGGTCTTTATACAACAAATCTTCCCAATTAGAACATAAAGTCTATAACACCTAATAATGTATTCATTATAACCTTTATTTCATAGATGCATAAGGTGTATTAAGCACCTTCCAGTTAAACTCATTGAATAATGAGTATGGAGATGATTGCTTTTGTTTAATAAAAGTTGTATATTGGTTATAAAAGTTTTAATATGCGCTATACACATTATTCTAGATAAACAGTTTAATAAGCCCACTTCTTTCAGTGTAATATCTCTAAAGCCAACCGTTTTCAACAAAAAGATATTTAAATTTATAAATGCATAAAAAAATTATTTAAAAATTATTTTCAACCCCACTGATAAACAAAATTAGGAGCAATTAATCGGTTATTAGCAAGAAATATGCCTTTAGACTTGAGTTCCGTGATTTTATTTTAAGTTCAAAAACGTCAATTCGTAACATTTATCAAAAATGTATATTATAAAAACACACTATTCAGTAAATTACTAACTAGCAATAATAAGTAAATTAAATAAACTTATAACTTTGACTGTTTTAAGTCTATATTCAGTTATTTTGCAGAACTTATATGATTATTTACAAACGTTGATGTTATTCATAATTTTTAGAAACTCTGCCTCTACTACGACTGAAAATTAGTTAGGCGAACACCCATTTTTACCCAGAGGATGACACGCCACTGAACTTAATGGATAGGAGGGTAATGATTCCTTTCTTTAGCCTCGACAGATCGCTGCTCGTACTCGCAATTTGCAGCGTTACCCTTCGAGTACGTGATGGAAAAATTAGAATACCTCGTAAAAAGTTCAATCGGTTCCGACGAAAGAAAAAAACCGTGAACGGTTAATGGACCACTGAGCCTCGCTGTCGTGGTACTTTTACATTGTAAATATCACGTTAAAGATCGGAACAGAAGCCGAGTACCCTTTCGGAGTTATTAATCTGTTATTTTGACGTAAATAAAGTTAAGACATAATAGATATTTATCGGAACAGGCGTTGTTGGGCAACTCGAGGCCTTTTCAAACCCATTAGCGGTTCTCACGAAGCAGGTTTTATTTTTTTAAGTGCAAAAATACACCTGTTACGCCTAAACAGCAAGTGGTTTAGTATGTATATAAATTGAAATTTTATAACAATACATTTTGTTGTTCCTGATAACTAACATCGCATCTAGAAAAACATGAAATTCAGTCCTCAAAAATTATAAGACAGTTCTGCATATTAAAGATTGCTTTCTGTTGTTCAAAGATTACTTAAAATACAATGTTGTAATATATATAGTACGTTGCTCGAATATCCAGTGAAATATTGTTACAAAAACATGTTACATATAAGTGGAAATCTATTTTACTTACAAATTACATGTAATTTGACAATTAGCGGGAAATAAATTTCAATAAGTGACTTATAATGTAGGATATTATGCAATCGACTCAACATTACATGTAATTATTTAGACATTTGTGAGAAATACACATTCGGCATCAAATCGACGATCAAAATACCAGACCACGGAAGCCAGTGTGGGAAAATGAGTCGCGCGAGTTTTGTTTATTACTGTAAAAATGAAATTGTATTTCAGAAAACGGTAGTTGTAAACAGGATGTTACCGTCGCTGCGACTAGCGTTGACACCGCTTGAAAGACTTCTTTAACCTCTTACATCGCAGCATTTACATTAGTGAGAAAGAGTATTTCGAAAATATTAATATACCTGGGAATTAAAGTAGAAGTTGTGGGGTGTTTGCTTCAAAAAAGTGTGTAGTGGTTTGTAATTGCACAAGCAATTTTGCTAATAAATTGTTATATAGATTTTCAATTGATTTAAATTATTTTTATTCGAATCGTACGCCATTTTTATCAACTGACTATACTTGCTAGACTATAGACTACGGTCATGTTACTACAGGAAACTTCTTATTTAAGTACAGTCCGTTCGATATTTGTTAAGAGAGAATTCCAAGAAGAGCTCTGCGTCACTTTCTTGGAATTAACCGCATTCGACACCCAAAGTCGAAAGCTATGGCCGGAAAATTTCAAGGCACGCCCCTGTCGTGGTAAATTGTCTAATTATAAGACAACAGATGTATAGAATAAAGTGTAAATTATAGTTGCTGCTAAGTTATAAACGTTGTAAAGGGTATTACATTATGAAATACATTATGTAATTTTATTCGACGTATTGTAAATTACAAAATTTAACAAATAAACTGAAAAATTTGAAAAATATTCCTATTTATTTATTAACAAAATACAAATTATATTAAATTACATCCCGTAAAAGTAGCATATATGAGAAATACTTATACAGGGTGTTTCTTGTATTATAACAAATAATTTTTGTCAGTGTATCATACCATGTACCACTATGGAAAATTGTTCTCTAAATGTACTTTTTTTGTTCCAGTTGTACATCGAAATACGTAGGAGAATACTGCCAGCACCTCAACCCTTGCCACACGAAACCAGGACCCCGGTGCCAGAACGGAGGGTCGTGCCAGGTCCGCGTGTCCGCCGGTGGTTCCCCCAGCTTCACGTGTCTGTGCCCGCTCGGTTTTAGTGCCTCCCTGTGCGAAATACCCATCGCGAACTCCTGTGATCGACGGCCGTGTTTGAACGGTGGCACCTGCTCGCTAAGATCCCTGGAATTCTACCAATGCTCCTGCGCACCAGGATATACAGGTAAGGCCTTGAATACAGTTCTAGTTTGCCGAATTAGCACTCTTTAGGTCAGCGTTTCTCAAGACGCGAAACGCGGTTACAAAGTGGGCGCAAAGCAAAAGGATGGGCGCATTGTAATGGGCGCGAAGCAAAAAGTGGGCGCGATTTAAAAAATACTGGGCGCGGTGTAAAAATGGGCGCCGAGAAAGGTTTGATAAAAAAAGTACGAAATTCACACACTTACATTTGACATTTATTATGTCATCAGATATTTACAAAACTTGTTCAAGTGACATTTGCTTTTGCCGCTTTGTGATTCAATCTGAATTTGTAATACAACGGTTATTGTTGTTGAGATGTCCGGTTATTTCAATTTCATCCTAATGTAGGTCTTTTAGATAAGATATCTCGTTACAAAATGTAAATCGGTCCAATATATACAACCCGAGACATCAGTCTTGACTTACGGCATTTGTAACTCGGTATCACGATCTAGATAGCCGCGTTTATTAGTTTTAGTCGCGTTTAGCATAAAAATGCGCGAGCTATTTGAATACGAATGCAGGGCTCATTAACGCGGATACATATAATAAATGCGGCTTACACTTAATAGGTCTTTCTATATTCGCGCTAAAACCACGGCCTGAATGATTATAGCGCTCTTAACTATATGTAAATTTCGAAATTCCGTAGGTTGATTGAACCTAACGCACTGCAACTCGACGATTTTTCCGTTGGCGGCCGATGGGAGATTTATTTAAACTCTTGCGATATGATAATTATATATTCGTGCCCCCCTTTAGGCTAACAACTGTAATAGTACGTCTAAAATGGCACGGAGCGATCTAGGGAATTGTAATGAACCGCTGTTATCACCCACAATCTGTTTATCCAACGACAATTTGCATTAAAGACGACATATCGTTGCCGATAATACACACTCAGAGAAAGGTTGCATGGAAACTTCTACTATTTATGGCTAACTGAAAAGTACTGAGCTGCAGAGTACACCTTTAGGGTGTTTAAAACTCGCAGAAAGATATTTCGGAAAACGAAAAAGATATCTGAAATCTGTAAAAACTGTTATGTAGTTTAGATCAAGTATAAATTCATTGTCTTAAAAATTTTGTTACTGACTGTTAAATTGAATTAAAGCAATTTTTTGACATCCTATATATTAAATAATAGAAACTCGTTGACTTTGACACAGACAATTTTTATTAAAATCAATGAGAACGTTTTTAGGTAAAAGAAATTGTACATTGTGATATTCATATTTTGTAAAGATCGTAACCTCAAAATAAATATTATAAAATGTCACGGGGAAAGATCATTCCTGTAGCAGTTGGTAAAAAACAAACATCATCGTCAAAAATTTATTTGTACCAAATTACGATCAATTTAATTGCCTTTTCTCAAAAACAACGGACGATGGTCCACAGGAAGAAGTCTTATTTTTTGATGTTCTGTCACCTGAATTTATGGTATCTTTTTCCAAAACACCCTGTATATCATTTAAAAACGAGATATATTAACAGCAAGTAATATTTTAATACCTACAACCCTACGTTTGGTTGCAACAAATAAACTGGAGTTTGCCTTTAAAATAAATCATTTGATTGCAGCGAATGAAATCAAACCTGCGTCACATGTTTTCTCAGTGTTTACAGGAGAGAAACAGCGATTTTCTGTTGTCATTTCAGACGCCCATGCCAGAAATTACAGGCCCGTAACTGTATCTCGACGTCACGAGCTGGTTTGGTTCGAACACACAAATTCGTTTCGTAACAATTTCGACGTGCATTATGTGTAAGGTTCGTCGTTGCGCATCCGTAATTAGATGACCTCCGAGTTCATACGAAAACATTACTTGTAATAGAAAATTGCATTATTTACATTAATCAGTTGGATAGAATGCGTTTAAAATTCAAACGCCAATAAGGAAGTCACATAAATATTACATAAATAACTCTGGGATGGCGCTGGAATATTAAACCTTTTGTCTATTTGTGGGTAGTCGAACACAAATAGTTTAACCTCGAACTGATACACTGTTTTAAATGGAATTATTTTGAAGGTGGATTTTGTACTAGTTTTCGTAGTTCATTTTTTTGTAATTATTTAAAATTGAATAAAATTCAGTACAAAAATAGAAATTTTAATCGATCAATTTTATACAATAACTCCTACTGTACAGGGATATTCAGATAACATTATACCCCTTATTTTTTTTAACTTTGTCTAGAAATAGTACATCATGAAATTTTCTTACGATATCAGAGAAATGTGTAAAAAATATGTGTAAATTAAATGTTGCATTTCTATATATAAATAAAATTTGTGCCTTTTTTAAATGGAACAAGAGACGAATCCAGATGAATGTTGTGGGCTAAAAAGAGCTAAAAAAAAGATTTATGTTAAGAAAACTGAGTTTAGAATTTCAGTATATTTGGTTTTATAATGTTGTGGGGTATGGAGCTTTTGGGGTTTATTTTTTGTCGTTTTATTTGTACTAAAAGACAGTTTTTTCGGACCGTTTGACCTCCTCACCCTGTATCCGTGCCTGAATGGAACATCCTGTATATTTGTCGCTTTTTGAAATTCTCACCTTTTCATAATTACATAATAATCTACCTAAATAGTGGATTTTCTGAAAAATATCTAGGTCATGGATAAATTTTACCAATGGCATTGTGTTCAGCGCCTACGAAAAACATATAGATCGATAAAATTTAGGGAAAAATTAGTTTTGACCCAAATAGTGAATTTTCTGAGAAATATCGAGGTCATGGGTAAATTTTACTAATAGCATCGTATCCAGTGCATCAAAATACTTCGAAAATGATAAATTTGGACAAAATTGACGAAAAAACAGTTTTGCTCCATATTTGGCATCGTGTTCAGCGCCTTAAAATATTACGGAAAAGATGTATTTGGACAAAATTTGACCCATATTTGAGCGTTTTTATCCAAATTTTTTCTTTCCTCCGAAATTCATCGGAAATTCATGAATTTTGACTACAGGATCGTGTTCAGCTTATCGAATTCCTTCGGAAATGATATGTGGGTCTCTTGAGTTTGGACTTTTTTTTATGCTTGTGTTATCTGAATATTGAGTATTTTTTAACAAATATTGGAAAAGTACAGCCAAATTAATAAAATTAGGGCTAAATCAAATATAATTGGTGCAAATTACATTTAATAGCTTTAAGCTATGCTTAGTTCAATAAACAATATATTAATTGACTTAACTATCTTACCGACAGTCCTAAAAAATATGGAAGAAGAGGCAACACCTGCTTTCATAAATCATTTCTTTAAATACACATACACATTTTACTACACTGAGAAAACAACTTCGTTTCAGTTTGGTTTGATGCCATGAGTTATACATATAATTAAATATTTACAGAAGATCACTGATTGTAGTAAGCAAATTACTAGTTATTTTACTTTATTACATGCAACTTAAAATATTTAAAATTTTTAGTATACCACATCGAGCTGTTGTAAGTAAATCGTCTAACTTTTGCTTAAATAAAGTCCCAATTCTACTACAGCGACACGTTTTTCTCAAACATTTACTGCATTATGTGTTGTTGGGGACCGCTATTTCAGGATGCATTGTTTTATTTGTTTTCAGGGAAGCGCTGCGAGAAACAGGACCACTGCGCCTCTCAGCCATGTCGGAATGGCGCCGAATGCACGTCAGTGGGCGATTCCTACAAGTGCACCTGCGCCCCGGGATTCACAGGAGCCGCCTGCAAGGACGACAAGGACGAGTGCAAGCACAACCCTTGCAGGCACGGGAAATGCCACAACACCCACGGAAGCTACACGTAAGCGCGTCCATTTTTCATTTTTGCATGCATTTCAGAGTTGCTCTAGCTAGAAAAATTATAAGATCGTTCACACATTTGTATCACAGAAACTAAAGTATTTCACATAAAAAATTAATACACTGATTATAAGACAATAAAAATTACTCAGTTTTTACCATTAAGGAAGAACCTTTATGGTGTTATTGCAGTCAATGTGCCCCGCTTCAAGAAATAGATATTTGAGAGAGACAATATTATACATAGGCATGTGCCATTTGTTCAGAAATTTTCTTCAATATGTAGTAAAAATGCCTTTATTGTTTTATTATAGGTAATGGATTGATTAAATCGGTAAATTTAAATAAAAAACATACTATGTATTATTAATGTATTTCATGAGGAAAGCCCAAATATATAATAATTTTTATTGTAAAAAATTTGTTCCAAAACATGGCTTTGACGAATTCTTAAAGACATTTGTCACTTTCTAAAATACAAATGACAACCTAAAATACGATTGATTCAAGACAATATCGAATTGGATGAAAAATGTTTGCCTGATTTTAAAAATAAAAAGCCAAATCAGTTATTTTTAATAAAACTAATTTACTAAATAGTAAATGGTAAATCGAGTATAACAAAAATGTTGGTAAACCTTATGATTTGTCGTGTAAAAATAAGAAAATAATTCTTAAGGAATTCTATATTTTCCAAGATACAGGGTGTTAAACTATTGGGGGTGCATATTTTCTCTCATGATTTTGAAAAGTGTGATTTAATTTGAATAAATTTTCACATCAAAAAACATTGTTTGCGGTATATTGAAAATATACAGGGTGCGTGCTTTTGGCACTATTAGAATATGGGTTATCTTAAGAGATACAAGGTCGATCAAATTATGGCGAAGTTAGGTGACGAATAACTTGTCGAAGAGAAATGTGACGAAATTTTTTCTTTTTTCGGTTTGAAGTTATTGACGCAAAACTGAAAATTTTAAATATCATTTTTGTTGTATTCAAAAACGGAACAAGATTGACTTTTTAAACTTTTTGTGCAGAATTGAAGTATGTGCGTGAAAAACGACATGCAACTTTTGTTTTTCTTTTTGTGATATGATCTTCTTCTTTGTTTTTTGCCGAAATGTAAAATTATTCTCTTTTACAAGGATCTGTTGAAAACAAAATATCCAACTATTTATTATCTACTTCAAATGAAATTTTGATAGTCCGGTTAAAATTTCCTCGACAATGTAAAAGTTGAGATAACTAAAAATGCAATTTTGAAATTGAAGAAAAAAAATATCTGGCTTTGTTTCGTGTAAAAACTACAAATTTAATTATCTAAACTTTGACATTGTTATGAAAATTTTAACTGAACTCCCAGAATTTTATTTGAAGTCTTTCCGATCTCAATTAAAGAACCAAGAGGTTGGCCAGGTTCGGTCGCTGACGCAGCAACTCAGCATTGAAATGTTTGAAAAAACATATTTATTTAGCGGTACCCATGCATATACAGGTCTGGTCGAACTAAATGTGGAAGTGGTAGAAATGTATACGCCCAGTAGAAGAATGCGGACGCGGGCAAACGGCATATAACACAGCCGCACTGGGCGACTGGGCAATAAATCTAAGTTGTTGACAAGTGGTTGATAAATTGCCTAGCAGTGCACTGCAGCAATGTGGAATTTGGTGTAATTTAGGCAATTTTAATTTATTATAGGCATATTACAATTGCGGAAGGGAGAAATAAGAGAAATATTTTGTTTACTAATATTATTGCAACATGGAGATCGGGATTTTGGAGACCTTTTGAAACTGAACAAACGAAATTTGCTATCAATATAATAAAATTGTTTAAGGGCTTAAATAATTAAAATATGTTGTTGGACAAATGAACACATAATAGAAATTTTCTACACATTATATACAAATTATTATAAGTACTGTAGCAGAAATCTTTTTTAGGGACGCCTGTGAAACTCATTAAATTTTATTGCTAGGCATTTTATACATGTTCAACTGTCTCGGAAAGACACAATACATGTTTTGTTTTCAAAGCGCTCTTTGTTAAAATGGATAATTTGGTATTTTGACGAAAACAAAAAAGTAAATCATATCACATCGCATCAAAGTAATCAGAAAAATGCACTGAGTTAAAAAATGCAAAAATCCAGGAAAAATACAAGTTGAGTATTGAATTCCCCACAAGAAGTGTTCTTTGAATGTCAGGTTAAAAAGTTCAAGAAAAGCAAAATTATTAGTTTTTACGTAATTTCTCTTAGCCAAGTTATTCGCCATCAAATTCCGTAATTTTACCGACCTTGTACCACTTAAGATTAAACATTTTAGACATGGATTGAAAAGGGAATTTACCATCATTTCGTAATAAAAAAATGTGTTGATTTTAACAAAAATGGCACTATGATAGAAAAATATTTTTTTTCTTTCCCTTTAATAGACAAGTAATTTCCAGATAATGAATAAATTGTAACCAATATACCTGAGTTGAAAATTGATTCATTTTGTGACGTTGTTAATGAGAGATTGTGTGATTTATAAACGTCTGATTTAGAAACGAAAAGTTTTAGGTGATCATAGAAACTCTTGTTTTTATGAATTGTTCGCGTACGTGTTACGCCCTGTATCGCATTTTTATCCAGTCATTATTAAGGTACTTAATCAATCAAGTCAAAAAGTGATTTCAATTCGCGGTTTGCTCATAGCCATAATAACCAATTTGTTACCGAAGAGTATTCCTGCGAAAATTGATACGCCATCACGATAGGGGCATCGCCGACAACGTCCTAGTCATCCTATTTATTATAACCATACTGCGGCGTGAAGACCTACAGGCTTCTGGTAGTTACTACGCGTAGCTTGTGTTTATTAAAGCGTAGTTCCATCATAATTTCAACTTGTTACTTGGCGCTGCGCCACGCAGGCCTTTAATAATTACTTTCCATTACATCCACCGACGGGAGCTTATATAATGCCGCTTCATTTAACCTCACTCTTGTTGCTTTCTTCGTGCATACACAAAAAAGCTGCTTTGACTGGCCTCCTCAAATTGCAAAAAATTCGTCGACAAAGCATCGATATTCTTCCGAGAACCGTCGATTACTTGGGTTACTGTAACCAAAGTCAAACCTGTCTCGCGAGACGGACCAACTGAGCCCGAGGGCTCGACAGGATCCAAGGAAAAACCTCCGGACAGTCAAATGTATTCAGAACGAATTTGTGATCGAAACTTAGTTAATATTCCACCTACGACAGGCTATTATTGTTTCCAATGGTTAATGGTCTAGGCATCGTGTGGGACGCGGCTAGGACTTTTGTAAATATCGTGGAGTAATTTATGTCCGATATGGACGTAATAAATAAGCCTGCCATGTTGAAACTTATTAGTTTTTTTGTTGCAGCGCGGTTCGATTTTAGTAGTCATCATCGAGAGAATGTCTCTGCCGGTCTAAATTGTGTTTCTTCTTGGTAATTACTAGTTATCTAGCTTTATGGCCGATTCTCTCTATAAATTTAACTTGCGGGAAGAAAGTAATCACTTTGAAAGCCATTACGTTATAAATTGCTACAGAGAAATGCAGGGCTTTTAAGAACTGCGTTATATTATAATAGATTTATTTATTTATTCTTGCCAACTGGTACTACTTAGTCTAATTACCTGAAGCAAACTCCTGTAAGACTTGTAACCCTCTTTTTGCTTAAAACCACCAACCTATTAACGAACATGAATTGATAGTATGAATGAAAACGAGGTAATATTTTTACTAGGAAAAGGTAGCTTTTACTTGCAATTGTAAAACCTTAAACTCCAAGTAAATGATAAGCTTCATTTGCTACTCTCGGGAGTATGTAAATGCTCCATTTTACATGAATAAAGAATTTACTTCTCACATGAAGTGAATGAATGCTTCAACGTTTTGGATGATACGACAGTTAATTATTGGAAATTTTTATACAAATATGTACAGTCGGCGCCACCCAAATGTGAACGGCAATATTGTACCGTGTAATTTACACTTCAAATCATAGTCGTAAAATTCAATAGTTGTCAAATATACATATATGTCATTTAGAGCAAACGTAATTAAATGTAAACAAGTAACGTGAAATATGCCGGAGTATTTAACTGAAGCGCATAGAGCAAGGGCTATAGCTAAATTAGAAGATAATTGGTCTTCGAGTGAAGTGGCTGCTGATTTAAATGTCAGTAAGAGTTGTGTATTTTATATTAATAAACAACGCTGGCAAGAACAATAATTACAAAGATCTATCAGGCAAGGTGTCGGGAAGATTTCCAGTGTCGCGGATGACAATGCCTTGGTCGAATTTATCCATAAGAATACTCTCTCTGTGTTTCGCCACTAAAAAAAGTCTGATTTAATACGATAAAATCCAGATGAAATTTCCATAACTACCAAAATGCGTTCACATTTGGGTGGCGTCAACTGTACAGGCTGGTCCATTTTCGGTGGGATTTCAGGGTATCTTAGAAACTACTAACTTTGGGTCATAACTCCGAAATCTTTAGATCTACTAAAAATCTAATACCGGCATTCAATTCTACGCCAAAGAATTAGTCTTGAGCCGTTTTTACTTTAACTCTAACTTATTTAACAGCTGAGACACAGACATGTACAAAAATATGACAATAACAAGAAACGCCCTGTAACTCAGAAACAAATGAAGATGGCAAATTTCTGATTTGACAGTCGAGTTTGCCATGAAAATCGAGCTCGAGAACGTCGTGTCAGATTTATCATATCTTTAGTAGTTTCTGAAACACCCTGAATTCCCATCGAAAATGGACCAGCCTGTACAAGGAAAATAAGATGTTATAAATAATGAAAGGAGACAAATCCAGAATAGCGAAAATGTGGAATGGAAGGCATTTTACTCTTTAAGAGATAACAAGGAGAGTAGTGCCTAAATTCTACCCTGTAAAAAATCGGTGTGAGTGAAAGCAATAAAGGTATAGATTGAGTCCATCGAGTGAAATTATTG